ATTGATCGTACAAAAAAATAAAACGCGGAGAAAAATTGATTTGCCATTTTTAAAAACTGGGTTATATATAAAAAGGGAAAAAAACGGGAAACCTAAATTGAAAAATGGGAAAAATATATAGAATTGCATGGACAAAAAGAGAATAGACTCGCCCGAAATCTGGCAACACTGCTGGCATTTCTTATAACTTTATGCATTTAATGATCCTGCAGAGGTCGTTCGCATTCACATTTATGTATCACAAATTTTACACATTAAGCGCTCATTCACCATTCGGCACATACGCACGCGCATTTGTTGTAGTGATATAGTATATATGTATGTACATATATATACATTTGGATGTAAAAGTATAAATATGTATGTATGTATGTATGCCTACGTGTATATCTTGTCGCATTGCACATATGTATTTGTGTTATAAGAGTTTTAAGAGAGAGCTGCACTCTAAAGGCCCGTTTACATACAACTTTGGCGTTGCGTTGGCGTTGGCGTTGGCGTTGGCGTCGCTTCGACATCTGACTATGATTACATGCATTTATATGAAAGTCTCCACATAACCAAAATTGGGCAACGTCAACGCAAAAGCAAAACAGAGAGATGGCAAAAAGCGCAGTTACCCTCGGCCGTAAAAACGGAGAACGTATCAGCTGACACGATCTATCTTATGGGATCTGGGTGTTAAGAAAAACTCACCACCGCATGACCGTGACGTAGACGTTGCATCTCTATCTTTCTACCAACAGCAAACTTGATATGTTTCTACGTACTTCTACGCTACGCTACGTACACGTTCGCGTGCGTCGTTCGTCAGCTGTTCCAAATAACCAAAATTATGTGAAATAATTTTCCATTTTTAATCAAATGCGGACAAGAAATAGCGTTTTAATGCATTTATTGGTATAAAATCTTTATTCGCTGCTAGGCGTTCATTGTAGCAAGCAGGGGCGTTACTCGCCAACGCCAACGCAACGCCAAAGTTTTATGTGGGTGGGCCTTTAAAGGCCAACGCCAAAGCCAACGCGTAACTTCTATGTGGACCGGCCTTAAGTGTCATGTTTATTGATGCGCGTCGCTTTTACTTTGTGTCGATTTAGAATACCAGAATGAAAGTTGTTTACCTTTTTAAGTGCATCAGAGTGCAAAACCAAACATATTCTTGTATATATGTATATTTTAAATCTGGTAATTCAGTCCAAATTTTTCAATATGGTGCTTCTTTTTGTATATTTGCTTCGCGTAAACAAAATCAAAATCTTTATATTTTAACGCAACGATTTAGACGCCCCGAACTCGCGCTTGTTAGCCGGCCAAGTAATCAATTGCAACTGTTCGAACGTTCCTTTGGAGTGGAAGAACAAAGCCTATACACAGGGTTGCCAAGTTTTGAATTTGAAAAAGCACTAAAACCCCCAAAAAAAAATCGCGTTTTTTTTCTCGAAAAAAGCACCAAATTTTTATTGGAGTATTTAATGGACTTTGTATGCAAGAAA